CTACCAGCTCAGCCCGGGTCCGTGCCCTGCATCCCCCGCAGCTCCTTGCTCCCCTGGATGAGCCTTCACACCTGCTCCACCTTCTGCCAGCCTCAACGCCCCGCTCACTCTCAGCTCTGATCTTGCCTCTGATTTCAGTGAGATTCGCAGTCCAGAGGTGGTCCTCCTCCCCCCGTTAACCCGCCAGCCTGCCTGTGTCTGTGGTCACGTCCTCCGACTGCCCTTCCTCTCAGCGAACAGGCTGTCTCATGTCCGATGGCCTCTGACCCAGACCGGGCAGCACATCCTTTCTCTTGCATCTGGAACCTGTCTTTCTATTGAGTCGTTCCAACCGGCACACAAGGTCCAGTAACATCCACTTCCTTAAATAACCCACAAAACTCCCTTCATGGCCTGTGTCTCCAGCTATTGTTCCACGTCTCTGCTTCTTTGCGGGAAAACTCACCCAACAGGCTCTGTCCACCTGCTGTATGTGCTTCCTCATGAGCCATTCTCTTTAATCCACTCCCCTCAGCCTGCTTCCCACTCCTCTATGGAAACTGCTTTTCTCAAGGGAAGAGGGGCGCCTGTCTTTCATGCCAGTGATTGAATGTCGGTCCTTATCTCTCTGGATCTCTCCACAGCGTTTGGCAGATGACTGACTTCTCTCTGGACACACGCCCCTCCCGTGGCCCTGGAGCACTGGACTCTGCTGTCCTCCCCTCTGAGGGCTCAGGCCGCTCCTCTGTCTCCTTGTCATCTACTCGGTCTTACTGAGCACCCCAGGGGCCTCTTCTCTCTGTCTACACTTACTCCCTCAGTGATGATGACTGCTGATTCAGGCAGGGGTCTGGCACGTTTGAAGGGACTATCTACCATGAATTGTGCAGGGCGCAGTGAAACCTGGAGGGAGAGGACATTGCAGAAACAAGGGGAGGGGACAGAACCCTGGACCTGGAAGGAGAAAAAGGAGGGTGGAGAGGGCGCCTGACAGGAGCTGGGACCTTCATTTAGGGCTTACAGCCCACCCCAGGTGGTCAGTGGGAGGGGCTGGGGGATGAAGACCCTGACTTTCCTCCCTCCACGTGCTCACCGTTGGCCCAGCAGAAGCGGGAGCCAGAGGTCAAGGGAATGAGCTATGTGGTCTACATGTAACTGGGCAGGACCCTGCGGGCTTTCCCAGGGACAGACCACCCTGTGTCCCCCGCCTCTTGTTTGTAGAAAAGCTTTAGCCTCCTGGGCCTTCTCCCACATCCAAAGAGCAAAGGTAATCAGAGAAGTGAGAAAATGCAGAAACAAAGGAAAACAGACAATAATAGTTTAATCATAGAACAAAGTCCAGGACCTGAGTTTCTCCTCAAGGGCTATAGATAACATCCTGAGCCATACCCTTGGGCTGTTTTGCAGCTACTAAAACCCCCACCAGGTGGGAGAGGTTAACTGCATGCTGCCCACCAGCACAAAGACCCCAGATCCGCTGGAACCAGAAGGTTTATGGTGCTAATTCTCAAAATACCATCTGCTTACCTCACCACCAACCCATCAGAAGGACAAGCTGATCAGGCACCCGCCACCCTCTCCCTTTGCCTTGCGTTTAAAACCCCTTCCCAGAAAGCCTTTGGGGAGTTTGGGCCTTTTGAGCATAAGCTGCCCATTCTCCTTGCTTGGCTCCATGTTGGATGCCTTGGAATAAATGCTGCACTTTCCTTCACCACAACCCAGTGTCAATAGATTGACTTTACTGCGTGCAGCCAGGCAGACCCAAGTTTGGTTCGGTAACAGGTCAGCGCACGGCACAAAGTGGGAAGGGTGGAGAGGGTGGGACGGTCAGACAGGAAGTATTCACACAGCGTCCAGATTCACGTCTTCAGCTGTGACCTCTCCTCTGAGCTTCCCTTGTGATACCCAACTGCCTACTCAACATCTCCACTTCTATGTTAAATGCAGAATCCTGTGACCAACAAGCTCTTCCCTCATCTCCTGTCTCAGTAAAGTGCATCAGTCCACAGTTGCTTAGGTAAAAAACTAAGAGCCTCCATTTCCTCTTTCACGTCTCACAACGGACACATCAGCACTTCAGTCAGCTCTACAATAGGGCCCCTGTGCATCGTGCCCCTGGTCCAAACCACTCCACCTCTCTCTTGGGCTTCTGTTAAAATCTCCTAACTGGCCTCCCCATTTCTCTCTGCAACAGGCCTATTGGCAGCCTCCCCTGCAGCCTTCCCTTCCACTCCCAGCTGAGTGAGCCCTGATTTTGTGTGGAGCTACTGTTTGCCCACCTCCGTGGACGACGGCAGTCCTACTCCTCTTGGCCATACATTCATACATTCACTTCCCCATCCTCGTGAAGCCAGGAGTGGTACGTGGCCCAGGTCTGCCCAGTGGAGTTTAAAGAGAAATTTTCCGGGGAGCCTCTGAGAAACCTTTCCTTTGTTATAAAACGATGTTGTATGTTTATTTTTTTTAATGGATGTCCTTACAGATGGCCAATAGGCACATGAAGAGATGCTCAGCAGTGTAATTATTAGAGAAATACAAATCAAAACTAGAATGAGATACCACCTCACACCGGTCAGAAGGGCCATGATTAAAAAGTCCACAAATAACAAATGCTGGAGAGGGTGTGGAGAAAAGGGAACCCTTCTACACTGTTGGTGGGAATGCAGATTGGTGCAGCCACTATGGAAAACAGTATGGAGCTTCCTCACAAAACTGAGAATAGAGTTGCCATTCAGCAGTGGGACTGCCAGCAGTCCCACTCCTGGGCATATATCCAGAGAAAACCATAATTAGAAAAGAGACATGCACCCCTATGTTCATAGCAGCATTGTTTACAATAGCCAAGACATGGACACAACCTAGATGTCCATCCACAGATGAATGGATAAAGAAGACGTGGTACATATACACAATGGAATATTACTCAGCCATAAAAAAGAATAAAATAGTGCCGCTTGCAGCAACATGGATGGACCTAGAGATTATCACACTAAGTGAAGTAAGTCAGACAGAGAAAGACAAATACCATATGATATCACTTATATGTGGAATCTAAAATATGACACGAACTTACCTATGAAACAGAAACAAACTCACAGACAAAGAGAATAGACTTGTGGTTGCCAAGGGGGAGGGGGTTGGGGGAGGGATGGACTAGGAGTTTGGGATTAGCAGGTGTAAACTATTATATATATATGTATAAATGAACCACTTTTCTCTAGAGCAGAAACTAATACAACATTGTAAATCAACTATACTTCAATAAAATAAAATTTAAAAACTAGATGTCCTTTTTACACCTGCCTGTTCCTTCCTATCTGAGATGGTGGTGTAAAGACATGATGTCTCATGCTATGGCAGCCACCTTGGGCCATGAGGCGACAAGCATGAGGACAAAACGTGCAGGTGGTGACCATAGGAGGGAAGAGGGATAGGAAGAGTCCGTGTTCCTGAAATGGCATTTGCTTTATGACTTAGTAAGTGAGGTTAAAGCTATTGTATAGTCACCGACACCTGGGAATTGGGTTACTTAGCTCTGAATACATCCTAGGTGATGCACACACTGTACCCCTGCAATCTGTTCCCCAGCAGCCACAGGGATCCTTTTAGAACAGGAGTCAGATGACCACCTGTCTGCTCAGAACTCTGCTCTGACTTCCCATCACACTGAAAACAGAAGCTGGAGCCCAGATCTTGGCCTGCATGGCCACGCCAGGGTCTCTGCACTCAGTGTCCTGTCTCTCTACAACATTCAGGTCTGCTCAAGGATCATTTCCTGAAAGTTGTCTTCCCTGACTGGGTGGTAGAAAAGCCGCTCCCCCCGCCGCCCCCCGCATCCTTATCTCCTCCTTCTGTTTTCACAGCGCTGCTACCTGGTGCTGCCGGCAGGATTGATTTGCTGTCCGCGTGCCGGTGGAAGGGACACTCGGCTTACCTCCTCTGCCACTGACTCGGGAAAGGCTTCTTGTTTGAACGTTGTGAGGACCAGATGAGCAAATCATGTGTGAATCGAGTAGAACAGTGCCTGGCACAAAGTAAGCCCAGTGTGAACATTGCCGTTCCTTGTATGAGGATGTCTGCTCTGTGAAGGCCCAGCTGGGAGCCTAGCACCCGGCATCTAATAGGTGCTTAGTGGAGAGGCTGGTTGGCTGGATGAGTAGCATACAACAGGCTCTCTTTAAATTTTTACTGAAGGAACGGTGGAACGCAGGGATCTCTGAATTGAGGTTTTGGAGCTGATTCAGTGTGTGGTGATGGCAAAGTCCAGGATACGATTGAGGGCCGAGGGGCCGCAGGACAGAGCTGTGCATCCTGAAAACCCAAGACCAAGGAGTTGAAAGCATCCTCCATACTGATATCGAAGACCCCGAAAGGATGGCAGGAGAGGCCAGGAGCCAGCATCTTCTTGGAAGAGGCCGGTGTCCGCAGCGAGGGGGAGGGGAGTGGGCGATGTGGCCGCTGGGAGGAGTGAGGTGTGGAAAGAAACGTGGGAACTAGGGGCCTCCCCCTCCCCCCTTTGGGCTACAGCGTCTCGCAGCTGGTGATGCCTCCTGGGGGGGAGGAAGGGTTCGTTTGTGCCGCTCAGCAAGCCGTCGAGGACTCCCAGCCCCGCCCAGCTCCTGGCCTGAGCCTCCCAGTTCAGCATCTGGCCAGCGGCCGGCCGGGCGCGAGGCCGGAGGGCGCACGCGCACCGCTGCCGCCCAGCCCGGGCGCAGCCCAGGAGGACCTGAGGGCCGAGGCGCAGCCCCCAGGGCCGGCTGCCGGACCCGGCGGGGGGACAGGGCGGGGGCGGCCAGCTGGGGGCGGGGCGCGCGCGGATTGGGCGGGCGCTGCCACGTGATCGGCCCCTTATAGGGCGTGGTGCGGGCGGCAGTGTCGGGTGCGGCGGCGGTCGGCCGGGCGAGGTCCCTAGTGGGTCCGGCGGCTCCGCGGCTGCTCCACTGCGAGCGCCAGGCGCGCCCCGCGCCCTCCCATCTCCGCGGGGCCGCCGGGCCGGGGGATGCGCGCAGCGCCCGGGAGCCATGGTCCGTTTCGGGGACGAGCTGGGCGGCCGCTATGGGGGCGCCGGCGGCGGGGCGGGCGGCCCGGGCCCTGGGGGCCTGCAGCCGGGCCAGCGGGTCCTGTACAAGCAGTCGATGGCCCAGCGCGCGCGGACCATGGCGCTGTACAACCCCATCCCCGTCAAGCAGAGCTGCTTCACCGTCAACCGCTCGCTCTTCGTTTTCAGCGAGGACAACGTCGTCCGCAAATACGCCAAGCGCATCACCGAGTGGCCATATCCTGCCGGGGGCCGGGCCGGGCGGGGAGCGGGGGCCGCCCGAGGTCGCGGGGACGGCCGCGGGTGCGGT